GGGTTTCACCCTGGCTGCGATGACAGCCGTTAATCGCTGTAGTTTGTCGCTCCCCGTGTGTCGAGCCCTTAACATGACAGGTGTTTCACTTTCATTGTCTAAGCCGTGTATTTCTTCTTAAATGTGTTGACAACAACAGAGAACTATTGGAAGTTTCTATTTCTCTTCTGTGTTTGTGATGCCAAGAAACCATTTCTGACCAAACTAGACTATTTCATTTTAGAAGACAAATGTTTGGAGAAGGTTCCAACCCTGGCTCTGAGGCAGGTACTTACTTGATATAATAGGGTACGTTGTTGGGCGAGACCCCCTGCTCGAATGGGCTTTCTACAGATGCTGAAAAAAACAACACAAGAGACAAGACCGTGACAAAATACACAAACAAACCCTTTTACATCATTACTGGAAGAAAACAAATGTAGATACTGTTCAGCAGKGGTGSGCACAGCTAGCTAAAAAGTTAGCTTTACTAACTCATAGGCTGCTAGCTAAAATATAGCTTTGATAATGCTAAAGAAGTAAATAAAAATTAGAGGAATTAAATGATACACAAGTAAAAATGAGCAAAAAAACTAAATGGTAAATGGACTGAACTTACATAGCACTTTTAGGTCCCCCCAGACCCCAAAGTGCTTTACACTTCAGACAGTTCACATGGTGCTTTCACCCATTCACACACACATTCACACACTGATGGTGGTAAGCTACATTGTAGCCACAGCTGCCCCRGGGCACATTGACAGAGGTGGAGCTGCCATGCATTGGCGCCACTGGACCCTCTTGACCACCACTAGTAAGAAAGGTGGGTAAAGTGTCTTGCCCAGGGATTCACACACTGATGGTGGTAAGCTACATTGTAGCCACAGCTGCCCCAGGGCACATTGACAGAGGTGGAGCTGCCATGCATYGGCGCCACCGGACCCTCATCAGTAGGCAAGGCGGGTGACGTGACTTGCCCAAGGACACAATGACTGAGATGGCTGGAACGGGGAATCGAACCGGTGACCTTCCGGTTACAGAACGACTCCCCTAATCACTTCACCCCCCACCCAAAAAAAAACTAACTAATGCTAACAGCTAATCGCTACCGGCTAAAACCACTGTTGAACTTAATCAACACTGTTGATTAATGCTTGTTAGATGATTTCTCTGCTTTAGGCTGATTTGTTGGTGTGCTGCTACTTGTGTTATATTAACTAGACAAACGTCAGCTGGACAACTCATTTTTTGTTTGTGTGAGTGGTTTTACTCACCTTGTGTAAGGCCAAAGTCCCTGTGAGCATCAGTGAGCTGCTTCAAATGGTCTTTGACAGAGATCTGAGAGAAAACACACACATACTGAGACAAAGAAAAAAATGTGTGGCATTTGCTTGATATCTGATTGAATTTCTGTTTTCCATGCTGCTAATGCTAATTCTACAAATTCTAATCCAAATTCTACTGTTGGTCAACCTGCTTATGCTAACGTGACTACTGTCAATTCAACTAACGCTAATAAAAATTCTACAAAGCTACATATGCTAACAAGGCTAATGCTAATTAAACTAATGCTAATAAAAATCAAACGAATGCTAATTCTGCTTAATCTGATACTACTATTATTTATTAATTTTTGTTACTTTTTGTTTGGCTAATGTTTTTCTTTTTTTGCTAACACTTTTTTTGTTTTGGATAGTGTTTAAAGCATTTAGTTTTTAGTTAGCTCCTAGCTACTTTCACTTTTTTAGCTACTGTTCTGTTATTTGTATTTTTTGCAACTGTTCTGCTCGCTTTAGCTTTTAGTATCAATTCTACTCCTTATAACTTCTGTGCTTATTTTATTAACACTCAGTTTCAGTGTTTTTAGCTGATTTTAGCAAAGTCATTTGGGTGAAAACAAACCAAATATACACAGAAAAACGCAGAGGGAAGAAGATGATTATGAAGCAGTGAAGGTGTAATTGTAGGAGAAATCGGAGTATGCAGGCTGAATGAAATGAAAGTGTCAAACAAAGCTGCATTTCAGATAATTGCACCAAATGAAGGTCAATGGGTCGATTTACATCCTAGCTCAATGATTTCCATGTAAATCCATTTAGAAAAAAAATGGCTAAAGCCAAATTTGTAGGAGTGCTTTTATGAAGCTTAAGCTTTATTTCAGATTTATTTGACTTTAATAGGAGCATTGTAACACGATCTTTTTCAGGACCCCGAGAGATGACGTCATCTACTGTCGATTTCTATTATGGTTAATGATTCTTTTGATTTAGATTATTTTTGTAATAAATTCTTAAGGACAAATTCGGTCACATTCTCAGAGTAAATACCATGGTACAGAATTCCTTGTAACTAATAAAATTCCACTGCAGTGGTTGAGTTCTGATTATAAAWGGGTGAATAAAATTAATCATTAAACCAACCTAGTGGCCCAATTTTAAGAGAGCTTCATAAATGTAGGAGAGTCATCTTTACATCCCTGTTCACCACCACATCTTAGCAACATAGCCATAAATAAATCTGCATGTCTTTCACAGGAATTAATTTATTTACAGATATGTACGTGCACAAACATGTCAGATGTACAACAAGTATATGGATTTTCACTTTTTTTTCTTTTTTTCACAATTCTATAACAGTTRTAAACTAAGAAGTGGAAAATTTGTGGAAATAAGATAAGTTTCAGAAAGTTCCACAAAAATCAAAAAATTCGAGTAGGAGACACCATTGCAACATTAGTTGAACATTTAGTGATAAAATTCCCTAAAAGCTAAATTATGTTATGTGAAAATGTTAAAAGATCTCAAAATGTCAGTTCAGTCATGTAAAGTTTAACTGTCTGCCACATTTAAGCTGGGTGTAACCATTCATTTCACAAATGTTATATACAATGCACAATGTAATGCTACCAACACTCATAACACACTATTGTTAAATGAGCTACAGGCCTTGCTGTATTCTTTTAATAGGGTTTCTCAAATCTGCAGGAGATGCAAAAAAGTCCTGACTAAAACCGGAAGAATAACTGGTAAATCATGATAGAACTTCAAAGCTCACTCACAGACACCCTTGAAAATATGTAAATTTCTTGAAAATTATTCCAGCTGAAAAAGTCCAGGTGTAAAAGAACACCTTGTAATATAATATAAGTTTCAGGAACAGTGAATAAATAGACCTGATACGGCTAAACTCTCTACATCTACCGTATAGACACAGTTCTGGTAAACACGTTATTTATTTTTCCACAGAAAATACAGTTTTAATCACTGGAGACCAACTGTTGTTGGCAGAAGTTGTTAAGCTGATAGACTGAGATGAGTTACAGTCTGTCATTGTGGACAGATTGTCTGACTCACCATTCAGCCTTTCATCTGCTACAGAAATGACACAATGTGTGGAAGAACGTGATAAAGAGACACCCGTGGCATGATATGAGGAGCAGATGATGGTACAAGCATGAATGACTGGTCCTTTTAATAAATTCTGAAATTTACCTTCAAGTCCACCTCATCCAGTTCGATTGTGCCTGAGTTGTTTTTCCCCGTTTCCACAGTAACCTAATTAGAATCGTACAAGAGAAGTGTGGGATTGTTGAGGCGCAATTTGTTGCCACGAGAGACGGCACTGTGTCCCCGTGTAGACCATCAACGGCAGGCCTTTAGGTATAAAAGAACACTATGAACTCAATCAATAGTCCTGAATCTTCAGTCCCTCCCCCAAAACACACAGACAGTGGTGGGCATGGTTCTGCTGAACAGATAATAGATAGTACTGGAGCTAATTATTTTGTTTAGCAGATTCACATTTTTCACTAACTGTTAGCAGACCAATTAGCTTCTGCTAAATGAGGATTTGCCAATGTTAAGTTCACTAACAGCTMGCTAACAAGCTAACGTCAACAGGATTGTGTCAGTCCCACCAGTCYTCAGCTGAAGGGTACAAAGACTGAGACAGTTGTCTTAGTGGTTAGCTGTAATTGTCACAGTCTGCTAAYTTTTTGTGTGTTTCGCAGTTTAGCTTCAAAGAAGCTATAGTTTTAATTAGGTGATTGACTTAGCAAAGCTAACTTGTCAGTTAGTTGTGCCCACCACTGATCACACATGAAAGGTCTTGATCAAGATCTTAAGAYCACTTGAAAAATGGCAAGAATTCATATTTTGCACTGTTGGATCTTAAAAAGCTTCCAAATGGAGCTTTAAAAGAAGCAAAAACATCAAAGGAGACATTTTATTTTAAACAACCATTAAACTGAACTAGACATCATCAGGTTCATCACCTGATATAAAGGTTAAGACCATAGTATTTAAAAGCCTAAATCTTTACAGAAATATAGATTCAGTGTCTCTATCAGGTATACACAGTGTCTCTGTCAGGTATCCAAAGTGTTTTTGTCAGGTATCCTCAGTGACTGTCAGGTATMCAAAGTGTCTGTGTCAGGTCTACACAGTTTCTCTGTCAGGTATCCACAGTGTCTCTGTCAGGTATCCAAAGTGTCTGTGTCAGGTATCCTCAGTGTCTCTGTCAGGTATCCTCAGTGTCTCTGTCAGGTATCCACAGTGTCTCTGTCAGGTATCCTCAGTGTCTCTGTCAGGTATCCACAGTGTCTCTGTCAGGTATCCACAGTGTCTCTGTCAGGTATCCTCAGTGTCTCCGTCAGGTATCCACAGTGTCTCCGTCAGGTATCCTCAGTGTCTCCGTCAGGTATCCACAGTGTCTCCGTCAGGTATCCTCAGTGTCTCCGTCAGGTATCCACAGTGTCTCTGTCAGGTATCCACAGTGTCTCCGTCAGGTATCCTCGGTGTCTTGGACAGGTATCCACAGTGTCTCTGTCAGGTATCCTCAGTGTCTCTGTCAGGTATCCTCAACGTCCCACAGTGTCTCCGTCAGGTATCCTTGGTGTCTTGGACAGGTATCCACAGTGTCTCTGTCAGGTATCCTCAGTGTCTCTGTCAGGTATCCTCAGCGTCTCTGTCAGGTATACACAGTGTCTCTGTCAGGTATCCACAGTGTCTCCGTCAGGTATACACAGTGTCTCTGTCAGGTATCCACAGTGTCTCCGTCAGGTCTACAC